ACATCTCAGCATCTTGTTATAAGGAAGAGCATGCCCCTGCTGGGAGAGGGGCGAGAACATAGAGAAAGGCCCCATTTTGAGGCATAGGCATGCAGGGATAGCTGGAAGCGGAGGGGAGATTGAGAAAACAGAAAAACCCTGTCACCCAGCTCCTCCTCTAAGCTCAAGGTAACAGCAGCCTACTTCTAGAGGAATTTGAAGTCGGTGGTATACTAAAGGTAATAACAAAATCCAGACCTAGGTCAACTCTTGATTAGATTGATTCAGCTCCCCCATCCCCACCCCACCCCCTGCTATACTAAAACTTCACAAAAGAAGAGGCATGTCCATTTCTATGCATGAATGCTATTTACTTCAGTGTCTATTGCTCTTTCTTCACATAATGTCTGGCATGCAATTAAAAATTACAACACACACATAAGAAAAAAAAATTATTGTCTAGAGACAAAACAATCAATAGAACCAGACTCAGAGATGACCTAGATATTGGAACTATGAGATGGACTTTAAAATAACTGGGATTAATATGTTAAAGTATATAATGGGGAAAGTGGACAACATTCATGAACAGATGGGGAATTTCAGAAGAGAAATAAAAACTATAAGAAAGAGTCAAACAAATTGCTGGAACTAAAATAAAACCACTTCCTTGGTGATGAGGAATTTCTTCAACAAGCTCATAGATGAGGAAAGAATCAAAGAATTTGAAAATAAGTCAATATAAATTATCAAAATTGAAACAAAATATAAAAAAGAGTGGGGAAAGAAAAGTAGAACAGAGCAGCCAAGAACTGTGGGACACTATCAGCTAGTCTACTATCTGTAACTGGAGACCCAGAGGAGGCATCTTTAGGAAGAAGAATCTGACAAGCTGGTGTTTTTCTGAGAAAGGCATGTGGTTAAAAAATGGCCACACGTAATTTTCACTTTGCTCCCCTGCTTCCAATTTAGCTGAAGCATTTACTCTCATATTCCTCTACCTCCGTCTTGCTTATCCTCCAGTTATTTGGGGAAGATATGTGTGGTTCCATGCTCCCCTGGCCCCTGTCAGCCGTCTGTCTGGCATTTGGTGTCAAGAGGAATGGCTGTGAAGGTTATATAGTGTAGATAAAAAGATACAAAGCAAGACTCAGCAGCCTGCCTTTTAACCAACAACTTAATTTAACTAAAACAAGACACACGAATCCTGGCTTTGAAGAGGTGGTACATTATAGTTCATCTTCTGTTTATCGTTATAGCTAAGAGCAAATAGCTCACAGAGCTTGCATCCCTTTACCCCTTCTTATTTTAGCAATAAAAAACCAGCTTAAAAAATAAAGCATTAAATATAGTATTTATCCACGAAACACTCCTTTGGTACCATAAGCGGTCTCCTGTATAGACCAGCTATGCATCTAATAAGGTAATTGTACAAGCTCCTTTGTGTACATGTGCAGTATGTTAGTGTTCAGGCATTCTGTGGTATGGGCTACTGGATGGCGGCCAGCCAGCTTCCTGCTGAGGCCAGTTGCTGGAGAAAGCTCGCTACAGTAGGTTGGGATGCGTTGCGTCCCTTGAATTCAGATGCTTCCTGGAAGAAAGAGGAAGGCACTTGATGAGGCTGGAAGTATAGTTCCTAAAATTTTACCCAGTGGGTTTAGAATCTGAACTCAGGCACGGCTTCCCATGTTGCCATTGTTAATGAACTTGCAGCCCTGGCTGTGCAGAGGCTGCCTTGTACAGCCTCCGCGAAGCTTTGCCGAGCTCCTTGACAGAGCAGCTTCTTTCTCCTCTGTGCGACTTCTAGGCTTATGCGTGCCATTTGGGGCATTTTCACATGATTTTGCATTTATTTTTAATGCATCTGTTTCCTCTACTAAAGTGAGTTCTTTAAAGCTAAGAGTTTGTGTTTTATTCATCTCTAGCCTGGTGCCAGGCACAGAGCAGATTCTCAGTAAACATTTGCTGAATCAGACTAAGTAAATGCTCAGCATGAGGTGACTGCTGTGACTACACTGTATTTGAGACAGATGTTTGTCACAACCGTGCTCCTGTGTGACTGTCTGCATTAAATCCCTGGGCCTTACACACCTATCGTAGCTGTGCCAACGTGGGCTTGTTCTGTGGCTCTGATGAGGGCGTTGGATTCAGATCACCACAGTCAGACTTGAAAGTAACTGAGGGTGACTCTGTTGAAAACAAACAAATTAAAAATAAAGTGAGAAAATTTCAAAACCATAAAGAAGAAAGAGAACATTGAGCCAGGACCGGATGGGAGCTGAGTGAAACTATGAGAGATGCAGCTGCCCGGTAATAAAAAAGGGGAAACATGCTTTCATCATCTGATAAAAAGAAACATACCTGTTCCGGGGGGGGCGGGGGCAACCCTCTTTTTTCCTGGGAAATCCAGCTTGGTTCTATATGTGGCTGTGCCCTGGTGAGGCTGTGTGACCTTAGCTAATCATTTGACTACTCTGGTCCTTGATTTCCCAGCATTCAGGGTCTCTAATATCCCTTTCTCTCCAGCATGCTCTGCAGAGACAGTCTGCCTAGAATCCCCTCTGAGAGAGATCCTGACACTGGCTCCAAATATCAGGACCAGCCTCCCAGAGCCCTAGCAATAAACCGGAGGTGTTTTCCTTCTAGATTTGCCAGTCTCCCTCCTTTGAGGCACTCAGGACCAAGGAATGCTCATGGAAAGTGATTGTGCTGTGCAAGTGAGCACGAGAACTCGCCCCCCACCCCCCTAACCCCCCACCCTCCCGCCGTCAGCACCCACCCGCCACGCCACACCACACTCGCTGCTGCCACAGCTGAGTCCCCTGCGATAAGCCGCCTGCAGCAGCTTCCCGGGCTCCCACAGCTCAAAAACGCCACCCCAGTTCCCAAGTAATCACAGAAGGCCTGTGCTCAGCGCCAGATAAGGCGCTTTGCAGATCTCAGTGCTCGGGAAGGGAGAGACTCCAGTGCAGACCTGCATGGGGGGCCGGGGGGGGGGGGGGTGCGGCGCAGCGGGCTAGTTAAGGACACAGAGCTGGAGAAGTGGCGTCCAGAGCACAGTCACTTGACAAATTGCTTTTCAGTGAATTTGTGTTTTGCAAATTGATTTGAGGGGAACTGGTTTCCTTCAGCACAATGCTCTTCCCCCTTCCCCAGATTCCTGTCCTAACAGATTGCTGTCTTGCCTTCAATCACTTTCTCCCTTTCTCTTATCAAAACTGGCTTTGACCTAGACTTTATCTGATAAGCTTATTCACACTGGGGTGTGAATAATTCACACCGCTTTGGACCCTAATTTTAATGGTGTTTGAAATCTAAAAGAGGAGGAAACCCGATTTGCAGACATTGGCAGGGGGAAATATTAGGTGAAGGAGTCCTCTCACCACCCACCCCCACCTCTTGCCCCTCACCCCCACACACCTTGGTGAGGCTGGCTGTGCTGATGTGCAAAAAGATTTGGCCCACGGTGGTGGGGGGTGGGATAGGGCGTGGAGTCTGATCTAAATAGGAAGTAGGTAAAGTTCCCTTCTGAGCCCACTCTTCTTTGGCATCCAGGGCACCTGTGATAGTTACCCTGTCTGAGGATCCTAGGCAAAGAGAGTTGTAGACACCTTCCATTCTCCCAGCATGGGGCACCTGTCCTGGTCTCTGCTTCAGCAATTCCTCATTACTTTCCTCTGCTGGTTTTAGCAAAGCAATGGGGCTAATTTGTTAAGGGCCAGTGCACTACCATCCCCAGGTAGAATATTTGGTTTTAACAGGAATCTCCTGGAAACGATGCCCTGATACAAAGGGGGAATAGTAGTTTCAGGAACCCATGATGGGGCTGTGGAGATATTTGAAGATAGGTGAGTAAGGGACCCCTCAAATTACACCATCAGGAGCCAAGCCCCTCCACCTTGGTGGCCAGGCTCTGTCTTCTGGGGCACCCCCCGGAAAGGAACATACTAGAACATAGTTGACCAAAACAGGAGAAGGAAGGAGGGATGGGAGAAGAGGTGAGAACTGTTGATGGGGAAGGAGCAGGAGAGGAGCAAGACACGAATGTCAGGATGGAGATTGCTTAGTGACGAAACCCATTTTCTATGTGGAGCCAAGATCTACTCATGCGTTGGAAATGAAATTTAGTTCATTGAGATGTTGTCAGAATAATTTGTGGCTCTAAGCAGCACTCTTCGAAGTCAGCTTTTGCCAGAAAGTTTGGAAGCATCGAAGTGCATGTCTCTGAAGACCAGGAAGCAGGAGCGGGATAGGAGCACTAGGGCCAGGCTGCTTTCTCCAGGCGCAGACGTAGCCTCCCCAAGTAGAGCTGACACTCTCATTGGTTCCTGCGAGCTGCTGGTGGCCTGGGGATTGGGCATGGAAAGCGGTTGCTCCATTCCCCGCCCCCCTTTTCCTTAAAATGTAACTGCCAGCTTTGGTCACATTTGAATGGCAAGGTGGCAAAGAAGCTATTTTCATACTAATCCTTTTTTTGAGACTACCACCATACTAAACACCACCAACATTGTAGGTGGTTGGAGGTATTTAGTTTTCATATGACCTTCTTTCAAAATTTATTATTTTATTAAATGGACATCTAGCTCTACACATGTTTAGGGTGCACTGGTATTGCCTCTTTCCTTTTCCTGGTTGCGGCCGTGAAAATGAATGAACAAGGGGGTTGAAGTTATACCATTTCGATTAAGTGGATGCCTAAAGCCTGGGCAAGATTGGAATTTCAAGGTCATCCGTGGCTTTGTGAGAGCTTCCCACACTCAATTCATATCGAGGGGGTGGTGGTCTTGTTATCATCCCCTCTTTCCTTCCTCCCCTGTTATCTGATGCTCTTACAGAAGAGCTGCTCGCAGAGGCTGGACCGGCCCTGCGTGTGTCTAAGCTGATACCACTCAGGGCCCCTCCAGCTCCCCGCTTCTGCCCTTCGCAAGGAAGGGGCCCTGTTCCAGCGACTTGGAACAGCAGGACACGCAGGATGCACAGTCCCACTAACCACACCCTCCCTGCCTCTCTGCTCTTCACAGAATGGGCTGAACGGCTTGCACCTGGCCTCGAAAGAAGGCCACGTGAAGATGGTGGTTGAACTTCTGCACAAAGAGATCATTCTAGAAACCACAACCAAGGTATGTCTCTTGGGGAGTGAGGAAGCTTTACATTGACAATTCAAATGTGTGGTTCCTTCAGGTGTTGTCCGAAACCCTGGCATGGAAAATAGCCCTTCATGAGCCCATGTTTGCATCCTTCTGAAGTTCTCTTGTCTTTCCAATCATTTCCTGGTTCTGTGAATCCCTGAAGTCACAGGCCTCCGTTTCTGCAAAGATTCAGTAGGCCTTTACTTTATCCGTATCATAGACTATCGATCTAAAAATAAACCCCATGTTCTGGTGGCTTCATGCTTCCTCAGGGTCCTCGACTGGAATATGGGGACTAAGAGCGGGTCCACATCCTGAGATACTTCCTACTCTGTGACCTTGAGCAACCTACTCTGTGACCTTGAGCAACCTGGTCCGTGGAAAGTCTCCTCATCTGTAAAATGGAGAGTATACTGCTCAGTTGCAGGATTGGCGTGAGCATGAAATGAGATAGTGTGGTCTCCGAAATGCCTGGCACTGAGGGCTGTGGAAGAGTCCAGATCCCTCTTCAGCAAGTCTTCGTCTGTCGGTCAGCCCCAGGCTGTCTCCTCTCCTGACCGATTGCCTTGCACAGCCTTCTCTCTTACCAGGAGGCACCCGGCAGGGGCTGAGTCACACCTCTCACGGCGTCTGTTCCTCTCCACAGCCATAGATTATAAACACCAGTGGCTTCAGTCCAGAAACCAAAGTCATGAGACAAATGCATCTACAGGTTGCAAACTCAGTTTTATTTCTTATATACATACATCATATCTGTTCAGTAAGCAGGATGCAGCCAGCATTGAAACACGAAACTAAGCAAAAAAAATTGCCTCTAATTTACTAACGCGAGTCCTGTTTCCTCTTCCCTTCCTTCCTCCGTCGGTTCCCGTGGTTTTTCTCTTGGGCTTACCCCTCCAGCCTCTTGTTTTCCATCTGCTATTGATCCAATGTGGTCTCACATCGGCCTCAATTTCAGTCCCACGCAGCAAACATTTTGCCGTCTCTCCAGCAGAGACCCAGAAGAGCACTATGCAGAGAACAGATATAATTTATGGTTATGAAGTGAACTACCCAAATATTATGAAGGTAGAATCATCTCTTGAGATAAAATTCTGTAATTTTCATGTCATTTCCCGGAGGTGAAAAGATCTCACAGGTAAAACAGGCAGAGCTGCTCTTCCTGAATGTGTGCGGGCACTCTTAACGCCACGACAAGCACCCACTGTTTCTGCCCTGCTCCTGCCGTGGCAGGGGGAGGCAGGGCGCTCTCTCCTGACGCTCTCGCTCACCTGGCTGCAAGCAGCGTGCCATCTGTGTGGGCCGGAGCAGCCTGTCTTCCCTGGCATTCCCCCAGGAGCTGCAAAAACACTGCGCTTCAGCACTTTTGCTCTTTCCGAATTTCCCCCCTTTATTTGTTATTTTGCAAGCGAACCCTTGGCGTGTCTTTGTTATTTATAGAAATGTTATAAGTCAGCGTGGTCTCCGAATGCCATCCAGAGGGAGGGGGGAACGGTGAAACTGAACCCGTGGGCTGAGATAGTCCGGGGGACTGTAACGGGCCTCGCAAGCCCGAGAAAGATTTAGAAAAGAATAAAAAGCTAAACCCGATATAGTTTTCTAAACTGGGCTTCGGAATTTTAAAAGCACAAAACAAATGCATTCTGCCCCCATCCTGCCACCTGCGCCGCTCAGAGGCCGGAGCTCAGCATCGAGGCTGGAGGTGCTCGGAGCAGCTTTAGTCCCTCCCCTCACCCACCCAGCACCCCTGCAGCCACCCTCCCTTCCCCGGGCTCCTGGACGCCCTGGACATGGAGACGTGGGTCTGGGTGGGGCAAGTATAGCTGAGACTTTCTTCCTGCTTCTCAGGGGTGTGCTTCTTCATACGAGGGAGGGGCAGGGACACAGAGGCCCTCCCCTCTCCCTGTGACTCCTGACCCAGGGCCGGGGGCCTTCTTGAGCCTTACTGTGTGTGCACAGATGCGGGGGTGGGGTGGAGGGGTGCAGGGACGGAGGGTGGCTGCTTCCCAGGGTCTTCCCTGGGCTTTTATCTGTCACCAGTGCTGCTCTCAGCCCAGATCTCGAAGATAACGTGGGCCAAGATCCACAGCCAGGGTTCCCCGTCTAACCAGCTCCCCTTCATGGTGTAGACAGGCAGCTCTGGAGTAGAGTGATTTCTGGCGGGAAGGGACAGATGATGGAAACTTTCAACACAGCTTCTGGAGGGCGAGGAGCCCGAGCCTCAGTCATCTCTGCCCCTCCATGCCTGACCTAGCGCCCGACACACACATGCCCAGTGAGTGACCCATGAATGGATGGACGCAGTGCACCTCCTTACGCTAAAGGAGAGGCTTGGACTCCGGAGTCCTGGTTTCTAGAGGAGGTTCTGGTGCCAACAGTCCTGCCCCACTTCGTACAGCGAGCGCGTCGGACCCAAGTGCCAAGGCCTCTAACGTGGGCTCTGTGGACTTCTATGAAAACGATTAATTAGCATCTATACATTCGCTTCTGGCACTTACTCTCTGATGGCTATCTGAGGAAGAACTCTCTTCTTTGTCAAGCGAGACTTAAGGAGATAGCAGAAAGACAAGTTCGGGAAGCACCAAGCAGGACCCTCCTGCCTGGTGCAGGCCACGTTTCAGAGGCAAAGATCCAAGCCCCTCCCGGCCCCCAGGGCACCTGTGCTGGGGCTGCCTCACCCACCTGGGGGCATTTGGAGCAGTGGTGACTGGGCGGCCACAGAGCTTAGGCCCCGTGCGGCTCAGTTCCAGCTGGACGAGGACCCTTCTCTCCCAGGAGATGGACGGCCAAAGCGCATGCAGTGGTCTGAAGTCCCTGCTTGTAGGGCATGAGTTTCCTGAGATGGACAGACTAGCGTAGTTAAAAACTCTACACCACCTGCACCAGGAAAAGGGAGGTCGTTTGAGATCTCTGCTCCTAAGTAGCGGAGGGACAGATGGGTCCAGCTGTGGTCCTACCCCGCCCCCCCTGCCCTATGTGACAGCGGTTGTCAAGCGGGGCCTGTCCTGCCTGCCTCTCGCCGAGCATGGGTGCCAGTGGGGACACGTAGGTGAGTCATTCTTGGAGAAAGTGCTGAAGCTCCAGCCCCAGGACACCCAGGCAGGAGGGAGCGGGCAGGGAGGCTGGCATCCTGGAACCCACAGAGCCTTCTGGACCCGGACGCCGTCCAGGAATTCCTGTGAGATACCCGGAAGAATCCCGACCAGAAAACCTGGGCGTTCCACTCGCCTCCTCAGAAACCCACCGGTTTCTTAGTCTCGGTCGTTGGTTCTTAGCTTTTAAAAAGTTGACTTTAAAGCCATTGTGTATCTCACTTTCTTCTTTTTTTTTTTTTTATGTGCCCTGATCAGGGATGGAACCCACAACCTTGGCATGGTGGGACAACACTCCAATCAACTGAAATGAGGCCAGGGCCTCATTTTTACTTTCGGGATTCTCACTTTCTTCTACTGTTTATTCTTGCCGGCTTTCCACTCTTATTTGGTGAATGCTTGCTCATAGCATTTACTTATTTATGTTTTAAATAATCTTTTTTTTTGTATTTTCCTTTGTCAGGTTTTTTCTATTTATTTTTCCCCATTTACTTTCATGTTTTTCTTCTTTTCCTTGATATAGTTCATTTTATTATCCCCCAACTCCTTTAGCTATTTCTACCCTTTTTATTCTGTTTGATACTTTACTCCCTCTCTTCCTCTCTCGCTCCCTGTCCATGTTGGTCCAGCTTTCGCTTGGTGGGTCACAGCATCCGGGGTGCTGAGCCGGTAGGGTCTTCTGGCCTTTTCCGCAGAGCCCATTGTCCTGCAGGTACAGGTCGGGAGGCGCCGGAAGTCCAGAGAAGACCGTGTGGCGTGCCTGGCACACCTTCAGGGTGGGTCCCGAGAAGGCTGGCTGTTAGCAGGTGACAAGCCGTTGCACCTGCCCGCAGCCGATCAGTGTGGAGAAGCCAGTTTGCTTTCTTATTCTTTGACATTAGTTTTTCACGGAGAACAGGAAGAATGTCCCTCTTGCTATTGGGTCAGGTGTGTTGTCTACCCCCTTTGACCTTAAAGGAAGCCACTGCGCACCCCCAAACAGCATCCTTGTTCCTGTACCTTTAACAGTCACATAGGGAGGTGCTGTGGGAAACCTCCTCTTCTCCCTCCCCGTGTGTTTCAGAAAGGGAACACGGCTCTGCACATCGCTGCCCTCGCTGGTCAGGACGAGGTGGTCCGGGAGCTGGTCAATTATGGAGCCAACGTCAACGCCCAGTCCCAGGTGTGGCTCTCTCCGGTCCCTGCGCTAGAGGGCGCTCTTTTCTCCTTCACCTGTGTGTCTGTTACACCGCGGGCACTGGCTACTGGGCTGCACACACTGCGAGGCTGAGTCTAGGTTTGCTAGTGATCTGTCTCCAAGCAACGAAGAAGGCATCTTTAGTATTTTTCACACTTCTGCACATTCTAAGCAGGATGTGGTTGGTCATTGTGGACCTCGTCCCTGTTCAGTAAACCAGCCAAATAATATATTTAGCTGTGGCCCATTTGGGGAGAGAAGCTGTGCATGGGGCTGGGGCGTGTGAAAATAGAGAAGTGTGTGCGAGAGGCTGATTGGCGGAGGCGAGGGGCAGAAACAGATTCCATGGAGTGCCGCCCCCACCTTGTGGCCTTTTGTGACCATCCCATTAGGCCGTTTCAAAGGGCAGTGAGTTTTTAGACCTGGAGCTACGGGTGGGGGTGTTGTCCGGTGGGCCAGGTGAAAACAGGGTGTGAGAACGCTGTCCTCCAGTTTAGAGATTTTTGCACTGGTTTCAGCATCTCTCACTGTTGTGGGTGACGTGCAATGACTTTTTCTCTTGGTTTACAGAAAGGCTTCACACCCCTGTACATGGCAGCACAAGAGAATCACTTGGAAGTGGTTAAGTTCTTACTGGAGAATGGAGCTAATCAGAACGTAGCCACAGAAGTAAGTACCTTGGGAAATGGCCTCACGGCCAGAAGTCTCCAGGGGTAGGACTTGGTTTCGGGGCATGTGTTCCTGAGGCATGGCCGGAGGTGCAGCCTGTGTCCTGATCAACGTAGTGTCATTGAGCACTCTTGACCTTCAGATCCCTGCACCCCTCCTGGCTGCTGTTGGCTCTGCAAGGCAGTAAGAGACAGAGCCATGGGTCTTGAGGAATGCCCAGGCACATAGCAGAGAAATGACATCAGAGTCTAACATGTCGCTTCCACTATAACCAACACTGAAGGCAGGACAGGGGTGGGACAGCTGTGTATGATTGGCAGGTCTGCTTTGGACCTTAACGAGAAAGTCTCTTGCCATGAATCCATGGTGCACCCTCGGCAAGTTAATAAACTCTGATCCTGAATTTTGTCATTGATGAAACGATGACGTTGAACCTGAAGCTAAGGCTTCTCTTGAGCTTTATCACAGCAAAGACTCAACAGTTACATGACTCTGTTATCATTCTGCTTCGCCAGTTCGTGGGGTCCCAGTATACAACTGAGGGAATGAATAACAGTAGCTCACAATTAAGATCTCAGTGCCTGACATGGTTTCTAGCTTTTGGTAGGTGTTCATTAATTTTTGTGAAATAAATAAGTGAATACCCGTTCGCCGTGTTTAAGGCACTGTCCTGGCACCAGTAGATGGGGTGAGAAGAGGTAGGAAAAGAAACAGATGCTTCTCATAGCACTCAGACTGGGAACAAATTGTAAAGGCAAACTAAGTCAGTGCTTAAGAAAAGTGCTGTGGTAGGTTCTGTGAGGTTGCAGAGGAGAGCGGGGTCAAGGAAGGCTTCAAGGAGGAGGTGGCATTGATGTGGGACTTAGAGGAGGGTGGGAGGGCTTTGAAGAGCAGAGGACTGGAGGCCCAGGGCCTGCTATGAGCAAGAGCCCTGAGGTGTGGTCACGTGGGTCCTGCCTGAGGCCAGCCGAGGGTCAGCCACAGTCAGAGCAAATCGACCTTTCCTCCTCCCCTCTGGCCAGGACGGCTTCACCCCTCTCGCCGTGGCTCTGCAGCAGGGCCACGAGAACGTGGTGGCACACCTCATCAACTATGGGACGAAGGGGAAGGTGCGCCTCCCTGCCCTGCACATCGCGGCCCGCAACGACGACACACGGACGGCAGCGGTGCTTCTGCAGAACGACCCCAACCCGGACGTGCTTTCCAAGGTGAGGGCAGCCCGACGGAGGACCAGGAGAAGTCTAGAGCCTGGACCATGGAGACCCGCGGGTTACCGAGGCAGCTCACCCAGACCAGAGGTGGTCCTAGCCGTTACACAGAGCACCAGCCCCACGGTGACTTCAGGTCCCCACTAGGACATCTAGGAGCCCCACTTTAAACCCCGGTGGAGGAGCAGGGCAGGTCTCTGTGGCTCCCGGCCATCCAGAAAGTGTCCAGGTGGGCAGGCTGGGTCTCTGGCCAGAGTGCACCTTTGGGATCCCAGCAGATGGTGTTCTAGAATATTGTTTTCCTGGCTGCCCCCTGGTGGAGGGAGGGAGTAACGGAGGGAGTAACCCCACATGTGGAGGGTCATCCCAGGGGGCCTGCACGGCTAGCCACCTGGACATGCTGTCTGACGTTTTGAGTCACTGCTGACCCCTTTCTGTAAGTTTAGATGGTTCATTTCTCCTCTTGCTGTGGGAATTGACTTGCATTTGGGTTATTCTTATAGTCCCCTCACCCCATGGTCCCTGGGTTTGGTCTGGAGAAGTGCTGACTGGGTATGTAGGGTCTGAGGTTATGGAACAGAAAGATGGCAATAGACCCACCAAGGGGTCGATGTCTGCGTTTGACTAGCCAGCTGAGTCATTATACCCTTTAAAGGGGCTGAAACATGGGCCCAATCCCACTTTTTACTCATTAATTAAAATCTCTTCATAAGTAAGCACTCAGATGACAGCGCCTACAGAGTTGGAGGCAATCCTAGTCCATGGTTTGTCCGTGTGAACCACAGAACAAAGAATGTGGGTCACTCAGGGGCAATACCTATTTTTTAAAAAATATTTTTTTATTGATTTCAGAGAGATGAAGGGAAAGGGAGAGAGGGATAGAAACATCAATCATGAGAGAGAATCATTGATCCGCTGCCTCCTGCACACCTCTTACTGCATCCTGGGCATGTGCCTTGACAGGTAATCGAACCGTGGCCTCCTGGTTCACGAGGCAACACTCAATCCCTGAGCCACACTGGCCAGGCTAGCTTTTTATTTTTTAGGTTTTTGTATGGTGGTAAGTTTTTTTTTAATTTATTGAAGTGACATGGTTAAGAAGATTATATAGGTTTCAAGTGTGCATTTCTATGATACATGATATCTGTACATTGCTTTGTGTGCCCACCACCCAAAGTCAAATCATCTTCCTTCACCATATATTTGGTCCCCTGTAGCCTTTCCTACTCCCTCACTCCCTTTCCCTCTGGTAACCACCATACTCTTGTCTGTGTCTCTGAGTTTTTGTTTGTTTACTTGTTGCTTACAGTTTTATACCCCAAATATGAGTTAAATCAGATGGTTCTTAACTTTTTCTGCCTTTTTGCTTAGCATGGTATTCTCAAGGTCCATCCATGTTGTTGCAAATGGAAATATCTCATCTTTTCTTATGGCTGAGTAGTATTCCACTGTATATACGTAGCACATCTTCTTTATCCAGTGATCTCTGAAGGACACTTTGGTTGTTTCCATGTCTTGGCCACCAGGAATAATGCTGCAATGAATATAGGGGTGCACATAGCTTGCAAATAATTTTCACCTGGATTTTGAATAGAACCTGTCACAGACTCTCTCGACCCCTCCGGCGAATGTTCCCATCAGCCTAACTCTGCTTGGTGTGTGGGGTCCTCTGGCCCGGCCGGCGTTGTCGGAATCCCTGGGCCGATGCCGAGACAGAAATGGCAGTACATGGCGCGTGACAAGTTGTCCCCCCTCTGTTGTGCCCCAGACAGGATTTACCCCCCTCCACATCGCAGCTCACTATGAGAACCTCAACGTGGCCCAGCTACTCCTCAACCGGGGAGCCAGTGTCAACTTCACGCCACAGGTGAGCTCTCTGGCGGGCCAGGGCTCGGGGGCCTAGAGTCTAGGTGCTCCCACCTCTCTCCCGTGGCAGCATGAATTCCCCCGACTGCAGGAGGGGCTGTGGCTCCTCGTTGGTGGGTTTCTAATCACACGCCCCTCAGCCCCCCTGTGCCCCTCCTAGAGGGGGGAAACCTGGAGGGTGGGACTGGCTTGCTTTCCCAGTGTGCTGACCCTGGAAGACCTGGGCGTGGCCAGCGTGCCGGGATTAACAACAATACAGGTTTTGAAATCTGTCTTTGGCAAGAACTGTCCTAAGGGTAGGCTTAATGTGGCTGTTAGTTCTGCTGGCGTTGCAGGGCGGGGCCGGGGGCACGAAGGGGAGGGGAGGGAGCAGCTGCTTTCCCCAGGAGGATGCCCGCCCTGACCGGTCCTGTTGTCCCTCCAGAACGGCATCACGCCTCTGCACATCGCCTCCCGCCGGGGGAACGTGATCATGGTGCGGCTCCTGCTGGACCGCGGGGCCCAGATAGAGACAAGGACCAAGGTGGGTGCCAGGGGCTCCCTGGCAAGGCCAGGGGAGGGATTCTACCTTCCAGAGTCTAACCGGGGTGGTGGGTCTCGGGGATGAGCTGGTGGTGGGCCTGCAGCCGCCCGGAGCTGCACACAGCGGGAGCCAGGGGGCAGCAGGAGACAATAACAAGACAGTGTTGGAGTCAAGCTGGTCCTACGGAGGCATCGTGCTCCTGCGGTGGGAATGATGCTGGGCAGCCTTCTCTCCAACGGCCTCTGATAGGTGCCTTTGGGGCTTTCTCTTTGTGACTCTGTTTTTTAAAGGATGAATTGACACCTCTCCACTGTGCAGCTCGGAATGGGCACGTGCGAATCTCAGAGATCCTGCTGGACCACGGGGCACCCATCCAAGCCAAAACCAAGGTGCGTGCCTCCTTTCCACGAGGAGTATCTTTTAGGCGGGGCTCCAGGCCAGGCCAGCCTGGGATGCTAATACTGCTAACTGAGCCAGTGTGCGTGACTGCCCCCAATGCCCGTTACATAGGAGGCACTCTGTATAGCCCTAATTGTTATCTTGATCAGGGCCAGCAAAATGTTCTCTCAGGGCCAGATAGTAAATATTTTTAGGCTTTGCAGGCCTTGGTCTTTGTCTCAATGACTCCACTCCACCATTATAGCAGGAAAGCAACCATGGATAATAATATGCAAACTAGCAGCCGTGTTCCAATAAAACTTTATTTACAAACACAGGCAGCAGGCCAGATTCGACCCCCAGGTTGCAATTGTCTGTAGCTTTAGATCAACTCTTGTCTATTTCACCCTGGCTCCAGAACAGACAGGAGCGAAGCACTGGGAAAAGTCTTCAGAGCCGGGCCAGGCTGGAGTAAAGTTAAAAAGGAAACAAAGCTGTTCTTTTCAGTGGCCATTAGGGACCGGAGCCAAGGCCCATCCTGCGGTCCTCATAGCAGGTCTTGGGTCTTCCTGGGGCTAACGCTGTCAGACCACCCGGTGCTGCCTACACCTCCTCCAGGCCCCGTTCCCCATTCTTTGGGGTGAATTTAGAGGATGTGAGTTTAGAATAGTGAGGCAGAAACCACTCTGGAGGTTTTCTGTGAGAAGTTCTATGTCATAAAGTTAGAGCATAGTTCTTAACCATGCAAGGCAATTTATTTCCTGACAAATGATCATGTGAGTATTCTACAGAGGTCTCTGTAATTTGGGTCATGATTCACAGCACCAAGCTGGCGTGTGTGTGCGTGTGCATGTGCGTGTGTGTGTGTGTGTGTGTGCGTGCGTGTGTGTGTGTGTATGTGTTGGGTGAAGGTATCCTCTGCTAAATAAGTTTATATCTCTACTAAATAAGTTTATATCTCATTTAATCCTCCATCCAAGGCTGCTGTGCGCCTTTGAGCATGCCTCTTACCCGCTCTGCTCGCCTCCACTCTCCCAGGGTTATTGGAATGATTACATGAAATAGCATCTTTGAAAGACCATGTAAAAGCAAAAGTCCTCAGAGAAGTGAAGGTATAATTGCTACTACCACTTATTAGGTCAGGAAATTCTCAACATCTTTCCACAGAGGGCCTGTATTTAAACTCATGAATGTCCTAAGTTAGTAATGCTCTTATATTATCTAGATTATTAAAATGGGACTAAAAAAAGGTGGTTATGAAAATTCTTTACTGAGAATTTTCTCCTTTTCAATTGGGAAATATGGTATGACCTGTTTAAAATGCAGCGAGTGGAATGAAGTGTGTGGCTTGCGAGGGCTGCTATAACAAAGTGCCCACCCTGGGGGGGGGGCGGCCTTAAACCACAGAAGGTTATTGTCTCACAGTCTGGAGGTCAGGGTCAGCAGGCTTAGCTCCCCTGAGGCTGTGAGGGAGAATCTGCTCCTGGCCCCATCCCCCACCCCCCTGGTTTCTAGTAGTTTGCAGGGAGTCTCTGGTTTGTAGAAGCATCACCAAGATCTCTTTCTCATCTTTGCATGGCGTTCTCCCTGTGTGTATGTCTGTGTAAAATTTCTCCTTAAAAAAAAAAAGTTTTTTATTGATTTCAGAAGGAAGAAAGAGGGAGAGAGAGAGAGAGATAGAAACATCAATGATGAGAGAGAAGCATTGATCAGCTGCCTCCTGCACACCTTGCACCTCTTCCCTCTACTGGGGATTGATCCCTCAACCCAGGTATGTGCCCTGATCGGTAACCGAATCATGACCTCCTGGTTCATAGGTCGATGCTCAACCACTGAGGCACACCAGCCAAGCCAAATTTCTCTTTTTTATAAGGACAGCAGTCATACTGGAATAGGCCCCACACTAATGACCTCATCTTAACTAACTACAGCTACAATGACCCTATTTCCACATGAAGCATCCGGTAGGGAAGAAGCAGGAAGTGAGGTTGGAATCATTGCCCTGAAGTGCCGTGTTCTGTCTCCAGAAGCCTTTGTGATTACTTGTTTTCTTCCCTCTCCACCCAGAACGGCTTGTCCCCAATTCACATGGCGGCTCAGGGAGACCACCTTGACTGTGTTCGACTTCTATTGCAATACAACGCAGAAATAGATGACATCACCCTGGATCACCTGACCCCCCTCCACGTGGCAGCCCACTGTGGCCATCACAGAGTGGCCAAGGTCCTTTTGGATAAAGGGGCCAAGCCAAACTCCAGAGCCCTGGTGAGTGGGAGGCTGTTGGAGAAGGTGCCAGAGGGACAAAGACCAAGGGCGGCAGGACCAGAGCTGCTTGGCTGAGCCTCCAGGGAGGGGCACTGACCTGGAAGGTGTCAGTGCATGCTCACGGGGCATGGCGGTGCACTGGCAGGACAGTGACCCCCGCTGACAGCAGCCCCAGTAACAGGCTGAGATCAGGGGAGGCGTTTGGGCCCAGGAGCCCTGACTCAGGAAGCAGAGTTCATGGTTTGCACCTGGGCTGAGGGTGCCACTCCATCTGAGCTGGGCCCAGAGCCGAGGGACGGTGATTTCTTTCTTTTTTTAAAAAATATATTTTATTGATTTTTTACAGAGAGGAAGGGAGAGGGATAGAGAGTTAGAAACATTGATGAGAGAGAAACATCGATCAGCCGCCTCCTGCACACTCCCCACTGGGGATGTGCCCGCAGCCAAGGTACATGCCCTTGACCAGAATTGAACCCGGGACCCTTGAGTCCGCAGGCTGACGCTCTATCCACTGAGCCAAACCGGTCAGGGCAACAGTGATTTCTTAGAGACCGCCTGGCTTTCTATGCTCTGTGGGTGAGTGAAGTGGCCTGGATAAGTACACATCCTTCCTCTGCAGAGTGTTCATGCTGCTCTGCAGAGGTGAGTTCAGGCCTAAAGCTAATCCCCTCCTGGGTGGTTCAGGGACCTGGGGGGCTGGAGCTCTGCCCAGAGCCTGTCCCGGACCCCCTCTCTAGAGAGAGAATTTGGAAGGCAGAGTAGCCTCTGACTGCAAGGATGGTTCAATCATTCATTCAGAAAACTCTCATCAGGCTTGTACCACATGCAGGGCACTGTTCCAGGTGGTCGGAGTTTCTCAGCCTCAGCACTGTTGACATTTTGAGCCTGATACTTTTTGTGGCGGGGGAGGGGGGGGCGGGCTGCCGTGTGCACTAGAGGATGTGTAGCAGCATCCCTGGCCTCTACCTGCGAGGTGCTAATAGCATTTCTCCTCAGTGGTGACAATCAAAATCTCTCCAGACATTGCCACATGTCCCGGGGTGGGGATGGGGAAACACCCTCACACACACACACACACTAGGGGGATAAAGCACCGAAAAACACCAGTGAATAGACAAAAACAAGCAAGCAAATATCATTGCCCCGGTGGAGTTTACGGTTTAGCGTATTACTTTAGGGCAGAGCTGATGCACAGAAATCCGTTTTACTAAACA